TTTTTCATGCTTCACCTCGTCTAGCGGTGGAACATTTCCACTTACATCCACAAAAATCGACACATTACTCTTCCGTTCTTTTCCCATTTTTCAAGCATCTTTAGTTTTTCCTTTTCCTTTCGATTCGACTCTCAAAATCTTACGTTCGTTTTGCCATTCTTAAATTTTCATGAATGTTCTTTCCATTCGAAGACGATACGGAAGCAAAGCGGCGGCGTCTGGCATCTCGTCGAAAGGCGAAGGCGCGAATCGCCCCAACCGATCTCACTTTTCTCCTAGACCCGACCTCGTCGTGCACGATATGCGGATCGGGAATCCGTTTCGGGCAGGAACGATCGTCGAAATGCCTGGCTTTTCGGAAACCAAACATCCGTCCGATAGAGGTCATCGACGAACGAAGACCCGGTTGCTCGACGATCGGGGTCGCATCGGGATGCGTTCGAGGGAAAATAAATTTATGGTTTACAGACTCGTACCGCATGTTTCTTTCCTAATGCTACGGCGTATTGTCGGGGACGGGCACGTTACTTTTGAAAATGGATTATTATTTTTTTTACAGTCGTAGTCACTTTGGCGGAAAAGGAGTCACTCACCGTTAAGAGTTCCCTTTTTTAAATAATGATAAAAAGTAAACACCGGGGGAGTACACCCATCACGGTGGAATCACTGGTTGAGTCCATGAGGGGGTGCTCGGAAAGGGAGTCGGAACGGTCCTTGCATTTGCGATTCCAGGGGAGAGGTGCAGGTTTCTCGTGAAGGTCACAGACTCCAGGATGCCGATGCACACCGACTGCTACCGTCCGTGACGCCCGCAGTGACATTTCGTCCGTCGGTCCCAGGGAATTAAAAAAGGCCGAATCCAACACGGTCGCGCACGCCCCGAGGGCTCGTCGGCGACCCTACGACCCCTCTCGGGCCCGAATGTTTTTTTGCGGCCCGGGGGAGAAAACTCTCTCGATGGTATCGGGTACGTCCCCTACACGGCCCCCGTCATCAGATGAGAGAACATGCAATTTTAGAAGAAAAGGTCACTGAAGACGAGGTGTATTTTCATTCGGCAAGGAGAATGTCTCCAGAGCCGTCCGAGACTCTTCTCGATCTGCTGGAGACACAAACTTCAGAGCATGCATTTCCCCAGGGTAGACGGTCGCAGTGACCCTTAGGAGGGTAAATACATGATCGATAAAATATTTGAGATATATACGTATCTCAAATACCGAAAATCGCGTACCAAGACCCGGGGCCGCCCAGAGAGGAGGGGGGGGGGCAATCTGCCCCGGGCCCCGCGTATCAAGGGGGCCTCAAAGCCTCCGGCTTTGCCCCGGGCCCCTGGAAACCATTGAGGTAGAGAAAGTCTCTAAGGAAGAGACCTCTGTCTCAGTGCTGGAAACCTCTGGGCGGGTCTGCCATTACCAGCAGACATCTCTTAGAGGAGGGTACGACTCGGGCTTTTGCACTCGCTCGAATAACAGGTGCTTCTCGGCTTCAAAAATAAAGATAAAAATAAAAATCCACTATTGGAAACAAGGGGAATTTCTTTTTTTTAAGACAGGACATGAAGCGGACGCAAACGACAACGGACGTACACGTATTACTGAACACAAAGAGGAAGAGGGTGCTCTCTTGGCACAGGCATCACATTCCCTGGGACCCCCCTCGACGGTCCCATAGGAGGCTAAAGGGGCAGCGGACGGGTTCTTCAAGTCCGCGACTGGCACGTATGGGTTTTTAAGGTGTACTGCAATCGTATCTCTTAGACGCGGCACGCAGGGTGGCGCGTATGTCATGCTATGTGCTACGTTGCTGCTTGGAAGCCAGAACCATTAGGGGAAAATTGCCAGGAACGTAAAAGACATCGAGGCTTTCCATGAAGTTTTTTTTTCGTAGATGAAGTTACCTCGCTCTCGAAGAACCAACGGTGACGATTGGCACCGTCTACTGTCGAAGTCGTTCCACCAAAAGATCCACTAAAATCATCATCTAACGACCGCACGATTCGCAATCGGTACGTACGGGGCACGAACCATCGCTCGGACGCGACAGAAACCGACTCGTCCGATTCGGATGCGAAGCCTACCGCAACCGAATGCGAGCCCGTCCCGAGTGCGACCGGCTGCGACGGTCGCGACGCGGTTCTTTTCGGTCGTGTGCAAGGGCACACAAGGGCTCGTTCCTCTCCGTCGGATCCTCCAGAGTCACCGGGAGCGAGCCGAAGAGGTCTACGTGCGTTTCGTGGACCCAGAAGAGGCGTGCGACGACGTGCTCGGAGGGAAGACACGGAGAGTACCGGAGCGGGACGAACCATTCTGTCCTCGTGCAATCGTTGCAGGTTCGAGAGAGCGGAACGAGCTCGGACTCCCTCTCTCTCTTCGGTATGAGTTGGGCTCCACCAAGGTCACGTCCTCTCTTTTCCTGTTTCTCGTGTGGGCGTTCTTGACGCGTTCGTATGTACACGTAGGTGTTGCTAAATCGTCCCGACTTCAATTTAGCGCCCACGGTGCCGGTGGGATCCGTAACGAAGTACAAGATGGTATAATCAAATACAGGGTGCGGCACAAAAATATCCCTCATTTTGAAAGCTGATAATAAAAAAAGTGTTGTAACCGGAATCGGTATGGGAGACATATTGATTCGTAGGAAAACTCTCAGTTTTATCTTATTACGTAATATACTGAAAACGACCTCCCGAAGGTCCGCACGCTTTCAACTATTTCGACTATTCTCGAACGAAAAACCAAACTGGAACTGAACTGCAACAGAACTACCTTTTGAAATCAACCTCAGGCTGGTATTTTTCTCCGAGTAAGGACAATCAGTACAAACCTATGCAAAAACTGATATTTAAAAAGGATTTACCGATCCTTGAACTGGTTTAATATATTTTTTTTTATACTTCTCGTGTTCAGGGATTCTTTGACAAGATGGAGTTGTCACGCGAACATTTCCGAGCGATGATTTTCTATGACTTCATAGTGGACTCGGCCAAAAATAGCCACGGACGCCTTCAACGAGCCTTTGGAGAGAAAACATTACCTCGTAATACAATTTTTGAGTGGTTCGCAGGGTTTCAGAGGGGAAGGGTGTCCTTCAAGGATGAGTCTTGTTGTGGCCGGCCACTGACTGCAGTGATCGATGAAAATGTGACCATTGCACGGAAGATGGTCGAAGAAGTCAATCGAATTATATACGAGGACACTCAGGCACTACTTGGGGTTGGGTCAGCAGCCATGAATGAGATCTTGCACAGACGTCTTGGTCTGAGCAGGGTCTGAATCCTGGATATATCGATTTGACCCAGAGGCAAAGCGCCAATCCACCCTCTGGCTCTTCCCTTGAGAACCGATCCCAACCAAGGTCAAGCGACCCAGAAGTTTGAGAAGGCAAACGGTGGCTAGTGTCTTCTTTGCCCTTGGTCAAATAGCAACCATACTTTGGGGTCAAAAAGACTGACCTCAAAATGGTACGCAGAATCTTGCCTTCCAAAGGTGTTTGAAACTGAAGAATCGGGAGCCCAAGTCACCTTAAACCCTTTCGTGGGCACTGGGAAGAATTCTTCCCAGCAAACTTTTGACCCTCCCATCGCTCTGGGAAGGCTTCTTCCCACTACAGTATAGAACACCCTCACTATCTACCATTGTCCAAGACAACTCCATCAAATTTTACCCAGCGTCCGTGAGGCCAGTAGAGAAGCCATTTTGAACCAGATATGGGAGCATGCGACCTGTTCGTGCAACACTTTCCTCCCATTGTCAGCAATGTTATTAATTTGTGGCGACGAAAAGGGCATTGGGAAGAATAATTCCAAAGACAAATATGATAATTTTTTATATTTGAAGAAAATCTGGAAATAAAATTAATTCTCAAAATAAATGTCTCTATTGGTGAAAAAAAAATTTACTGAATTTTGTCATTTGCACATTAGAAAATTTTTATCCACGAATGGGTTAAGAGAGGGATGCTCCATTATGACAACGCGTCCAATCGCACAACCGCAGTCTGGCACGAGGGTGCTCCCACACTCACCCTACCGTCCAGACTTGGTCCTGTGACTTCTTTCTCTTCCAAGAGTTAAAGGACCGCTTCGTGGACGGCGTTTTGTCCCTTGAAGCAATTGCTGTATTTATTTCAGTGATATCGGATATCCCAACATCTGAGTGGAAAAAATGCTTGGAGAAATGATTTGCAAAGATGAGAAAGTGCATTAATGCTCAGGGAGAATGGGTGCAATGATTGAATAACGCCAAACTGTTTTCAGTTTTCCGAATGTGGAAACTTTCAGAGTTCGTATTAGAGTTTGCAGTTAAGAAATATTGAGTTACGTCATCTGCATGGAGATCGATTGCGCAGTTAGAGACAGATCGAGAAAGATCATCGATGTATAAGATAAAACCAAGAACGGAACCTTGGGGCACACCGAGGAGGAAGTTTATGTCCGGAACAACTTTCTTAATTTCATGAATTGGAAACGGTCACAGAGAATGTAATGGGGGACCGAGTGAAAGGCTTTAGCGGATGTGGAACGACCAGTGTGAGGCTTGGCTTCGTTACTCTCCGCTCGCCATTCCACCTGCTGAGCTCGAGTCCGTTCGAAGGATCTACAATATCGAGGATGCATAAAGGGAGTGTAATATAACACGAATTAATTTAAAAGAGATACAAAAAATAGAAAGCAAGAAACATCACTACGAGGCCAACTACGACAATAGGAAAAGCTAATATTGCTTTGAATTGAAACGTAATAGGAGAGGAGGAAACCGAGATGTTACTTCTAATGAAATCGAAAGAGAGCTTTTCATGAACGCCCGCTCTGCGGGAACAAAAACCAATGCCAACTAATAAGAGAACTATAAATATTACTTCGCTTTCCTGCTATTCTTGGAATGAGCTATTCACCAGTTACCAAATAAAGGAATAGAAAGAGAAGAGAAACAGGAAAAATGCGATGAAGAATCACAGAGGACAAGTCCTTGAAAGACTCGGAGGAAAATGCATGCTTGAGTCTAAACGAGGCGGTTGTTCTCGAGGAAGCGCATGAGCGATGCAGGCCGATCGGTCATGACCCCCTCGATGCCGTTATCAAACGCCTCCTTCCAGTCCTTCTCCCGATTGAGAACCCAGAGGTAGGTGGGGATTCCACGCCTGTCCAGGTGACGATACAGAGACCGACGGAAAAGGAAAAGATTCGCTGCACGCACCAGAAGCTGGCGACCCGCGTGCTTGCCCCACGCTTCTTGAAAATCCTCGCCGAGGAAGATGCTCAGCAAGGGCACTTCCAAGTGAGTCTCCTTCAACGGGACGTAAGGCAGCAGACCCAAGTAAAACAAAAAACACACGACGACCACCCGCCGCATGGAAAACAACAATCCGACTTCTGGGTTCGTTTCGTGACACCAGCGAGCGATGGTATCGTTGGGACTACCCCAAACCGTGAGGTGCGCCCGCTCGTATTTTTCAATCAGTTCTCCCACGGCCTTCACCAGGAGAGGATTTTCGTCTTTGGGGTCGATGTTGATTGGCAAGGTCGGGAATGCCTTAAAGACGTCCTCCAGGAGGGGGATCCGAAGGTTCCGAGAAGTTTCAAATGTTGTCCCAGGTGCGAAATGCACAGGAACCTTCTTCAAAAGTGCAGGCAGCTCATCGTAGTCAGTCTGGGTGACGTCGCGGTCGACGCCGGCGACCCGCAGCAGATTCAGATCGTGTAAGACAACCACCTTGCCGTCTTTGGTTAAGTGAACGTCCAGTTCGAGCATCTGAGTACCGAGGCCGGCAGCATATTTAAAGGCGTCCATCGTGTTCTCCATGGCTTCGGCCGCTCCACCGCGGTGGCTGATGTGGCGGATCGGCGCAGCGAACTTCCGCTTCTTCACGATGGAATTTGGGACGAGGAGATTCACGGGCGAGAGCTGTGGGAATCTGGTGAAGAAGGCCGAGGCCACGATGTACGTGGAGACGACGGCCACGAGGATCATTACACAGACCATGACGACGACGGGGAAGACTGACACTGCATATATGGCCCTTCCAAACTCCAGACGCGTGAACTATGCACACGAATCAAAAACTTTCATCAGCAGCACGAGAACAGATAGATGATTAAAGAGCTCAATTAATTCTATCTAGAATTGCAACAACCTTTGTTTTCTTTTTTTTTAATAGATGAAACTAGTTCGAAAGATCACGTGTCAAAGAAGAGTACTATTTGACTAGGAAAATTGAGCCACCATCGATTTCGAAGAGTAGCATATCTCAAAAGTTTTAAATTACTTTTTCACGAAAATCAATATTTTTCAAGTCATGAGGGGAAAACCATTATCATAAAATTGAAACTTGTACTTTTTCGGGTACTTACCAAGACAATGTCAGCGTTTCCTGCTAACCACAGGAGGTAAACCCGAAGGGTGCATACAGCGAAAATGAAAAAAGTCATACAGTTGAAAAATTAAACTAGAGAATACCAGCCAAAGTACAGATCTGCCATTCCACTGACCCCTGTACCACTGGAATTATCATATTCGCCGCATCCTAACTATCCACCCTTGAAATAAATAAGAACTGTCATTTTGTTACGGCATAGGTCAATATAAAAGTTTCAGACAACTAGACGTGTTTTTGATGGTTCGCGTCGCGTGGAGATGGGAGAAGAGTATGAAATGCAGGATGCCAGATGCGGCATTTCATGTGTACGCCTAGCAACCCTGTCTATGAGGCCGCGAGCAGCCGCTCTCTCCCATTGTCTAACATGGATCCGTCATCCGCGAGGGCTATAAGGGTAGTGGATGTTTTAGTGGAAGACGGGCACCCCGACGCAGGCGGAAAGCTGCACATCCGCAGCGAGTCGTGTTGTACGGATGCTATGGGTACTGCGGACAGTCGGAATGAAAAAAAAAATGACAGACCGATCGCAATATCTGCCACTTCCCCACAGGGTGGCTAAAAAAAAACCAAGCAATTGACTTCAACGGGCTGTAACTCAGGCTGCAGTGCCTTGATTTGAGTAAGCTTATAGGTACATATGAAACAACTCTTTTGCAGAATATATAAAATTATATGGTATGATATCATACAATTTTTGCTTTATCCGGATGAAAATGGCCATCTCCATTTGGAAAACTGCTGCAACAGTACCTGGCTGCCATTTGAGTTGGAACAGAGACAGCTGTTGCTATTAAGAAAACATTTTATTGTCTGTATCAATGTTTTAAGATGCGTTTCATCCTTCTCCCAGATTTTTTTTTTCTAAAGCAAAGCAATGCCGAGCTACGTGCATGAAGACTTGGCGGTGATCAAGCAAGACCTTGCGAGTTTAAAAACAGGATCACCAACTTGGAAGCAAGGTAGTTGAAGGCCCAGAACCCGAAGAACTGAAGCGAATGCTGAAAAAGTTTAAATGCATGTGTTGAGTCAGGAGGATCAACCTGAAAGTTTGTTTTACCAGAAAGTTCATTGATCATTTTTTTGACTTCCCATCCGCTTTAAACTCTGATCTTAATCACTGCCAAGTCTTCATGCGAGTAACTCGGTATTGCTTTGTTCTACAAAAAAAAGAAATTGTTGTAATAAGAAAAAACACATCTTAAAACATTGATACAGGAAATGAAATGTGTTCCTAATAACAGCTGTCGCTGCTGCGACTCAAATGGCAGCCGGGGACTGTTGCAGCAGTTTTCCGAATGAGGCGGCCATTTTCAATCTGATAAAGCAAACAATTTGTGATATCATACTTATAATTTTATATCTGCTGCAAAAGAATTGCTTCATATGTGCCTAAAAGCTTGTTAAAATCAAAGCACTGCAGCCTGATTTACAGCACGTTGAAGTCAATAGCTTGGTTTTTTTTTAAGCCACCCTGTATAGGAATGGCAGATAATTAACAGTCTGTGTCGGGAAGGTACCTGTCATACCCGATATATCACAGGCGCTACCCCAGTAGCCCTCGTGTCAGAGGGTCTGTGTCCACTCCTGGCACTGGTACTCCCGTTCCAACTGGGTGAACGATTTTCCTTCTTTTGGCATCGGCACGAGAAGCCAGGAATTAGCCGGACAACGCACTTGAGTTAAATGCCAGTTGCCTCTCTTTGCCGCTTAGAGGCCTCCTCCATCTTCCATCCTGGGGATACCATTTTACAGGTTTTCCAAGGCAAATGGCAATTGTGAGGTGAAATGGCGACAAGGAAAGTCAAACGCGAGGCTGCGCTGCAAGGGAGCGTGGGAAGCGACAGTCGTAACTCACGTCCGAGCCAGACGACTGCCACAGAGTTGCATTTCCACCATTCACGACTCCAAATGCAGAAGCATTCATGCATACAGTATGCACGGATGGATTTCGATATGACATCACTACTGGAGTTAATCTTCTTGGCGATTTCCATGAATACTGAAAGTCATCGATACCAAGTATTCTGTAGGTTTTCCAGACCCAAAAAAGGAAGCCACGAGGACGAAATGCATCGTGGAAATTGAAACGAAACGGGCCTGCTGGATGCTGGACTTTCAAGATATGCATAAGCTATCCAACATTATGCAAAATGGGGCAGCCCGCCACGAGAACAATCACTTAGCCGCTTTCACCATGATACCACTCGACTTCCCGTGTCTTTTGATTTTCCATTAATAAAATGCTCTTAAATTCCGAATTCCCACCATTAAATTTTTCCTTGCGGAAATTCTGGATCGATCCACTCCCTATTCCATCTGAAGCCATTCTGACATCACGGCAAACAGACGACAGTTTTGCTTGTACGCCTCATCGATTTTCCAGCTTGATGAACACCATCAGCTCAGTGGTATCTGGTTGGTTATCGTTTTGTGAAAGAGTTCTACTGTTTGCTTGATACCACAGGAAGAATTAGTAAACAAAACAGGAGTTTGTAATGGTAGGTTTAACTTCATTGCACTTTCAAGAGTTACGAAAGGAAAAACCGCCTCAAAGCATACTTCTATAGTTCGATACCAACACGAACTCAGCCAAAGACAAATGCCCTTTTGAATGTAATTTTTCTGAATGCCAGGGATCTACATAATTTTTTTTAAGATTAAGTTTGCAACCATTGGTGTCTTGAAATACTCTTTTTCACATCATATGCTTATACATCCCATGGGAAGAAAGTAAAAAAAAAATCAGTTGAGGCAGTAAGGCAATTGGGCTCGTCACAGAGGACTACTACCCTTAACCATCTTACCTGCTATAATGCGCTACGGAAGTAGCATGTAACATTAAGGAGTTTTTTTAAATATTTTTTAAAAGAAGCTTGAACACTTAATTTTGTAATTCGCTGATGGAAATTTAAATTTCGATGAAAAACAATTTCTTTATGCACAGATGCTCCAACAATAATGCCTTTATATGTTTTCAGTCTGTCTTCATAAAGGTAATAAACTTCTGTTCTTTGCTGATTCTCCCGGGTCTGCAGAAGATGCAAAGTATGCTAGAAAAACTAATTTCTATGGGTCTCATGCTCACAGCACAGAAATCTCCGCGATCCCTCTGAATGCATTCCACATTATTTGTCCCATGAATTCCTTCTAATTCAACGCTGAAGTTCAAACGTACGTAGAAGTGACTTGCCACATTGACGGACCCAGCCAATGTTCCTATCAGATGACTGGCAAGGAAGGAGAGTTCAGACCAACAATGTTCAAGCAAACTGCAGGCTTCTGAGGCTTCAACTCCTTTATTTACATTGTAGGCTGAATATCACCACATCGTGTCTGAATCACAAGTCCTTAGTTCCATTGGTAGACCAATCACAAGTATGTTGTCAACATCACAATACATGAGCACAAAATAATTTTTGGGCACGATGCCACAGGATGCTCAATTAACCAGTCGTGATTCTCAAGTATAAAAAATATTTGAAGGTGAAATATTGTGAAGGCACAAGCAGAACAGCAAAGCAAGCTATGAGAAAAGCATTGCATCTGAGTACTTGTCTTTGCAAAGTTAAGTAATAAGCGTCCAAATAAAGCATCACGGTTCGTGGACGAAAGATCTGAGGAGGCCAGCACATCATCTTCATAACGAACAATTCATTGTAGCATTAATGCGAGCACGAAGCACAAACGGTGTGTTTAGGTAAAACTTGTTGCCCGACGAGTCGCACTTCTTGAAGTGACAGGTAACAAAATAAAAGGCTAAACGAGAACGTTCCACGTTGGCAGTGTATAATCGAAATGAAAGCAGAGAGGGAATTGATATATCCTGGAACGCTTGAGAGAGGGTAGAGGCGCATCCGGTCCGAGGAGAAAATTATCGGTCTCATGAATTTCTCCCCTTGGGAGTTTCTGGACTTTTCACATACGAAATCACATCTAGCTCGCCTAACAAACACGATCACGCAGATTATGTCTTGTGACTTTTCCATCCTCGGCCACAACGTAGTTACTGGATACGTAGATAAACTACAGGCAATACGAATTAGAGTAACCTAGCAGCTCTACTTGAGGCAAAGGGACCTTAACAAGTGCTGGCACTTGCAAGCAAGCACTCACTCGTGCGCAATACAGACGGCGAGGCTGGCCTCCCCGCTCTCGTACACGCTGTATTGCAAGTGCTAAGTGATGAGTAGGGAGCGGATTTTTATGCAAATGCATATGCAGCCTCCTAGGAACATTCAACCCAGATAGGATCGTGTCTCATTGGTAGAGGAAGCGATTTCTCCCATTTTAGAACGCATAAAAATGCATATTTTCACGTTTTTCTCAGCATGTGCATACTTATGTATATATATATATATTTATGTATGTGCATATTTATGCATATTTCCCCCATTTTTATGGGAAGAATAAGGGTTTTCCAGGAAAATGTGGTTTCTTTATGAGCTACCTGACAATTTTCAAGCGGTTATGAACTCCGACTAGCAGCGTAGCGCGGAGGGAGGGGGTTGAGGTGAAGCCCCCTAACTCTGCTCTAAATTCATCCGTCACCTTCACTCATCTCGAGAAGTTTAGGAAATCCTGGCCCACGTTCGTTTCCCTTAGCCCTCCAAACTGGCAAATTCCTGGCTTTGCCGCTGGCAGTGACAAGAATAGACCAACTATACCCAGAAGTGGCATGAAATGTACATTGAAGTTCCTTCTTCGGAAAAATTCGTACTACTGTACATATTCAATAAGACATTTTTGCATATTTTTCCATATTCATGCATACTTATTGCATATTTAGGCATTTTTATGTGCATATCCATGTGCATATTTTCGGACCTATTGGCGCATAAAAATCCGCTCCTTAGTGATGAGGTATGCATTATCTATAGGCGAGGCCTCCCATCTGCGATTCTGGGCAGAAGTCATCTATCAGACAAAGGACTTCGCTCGTTTTGCGCCAATCGAGAACGAATCCAATGGTTCTGAAAGATTACTTTCAGATATTTGATATCTTAATGGATATTTTCAACTCGTATGGGAAAGTGTCTCCTTAGAATATATTAAGAAGCCGTGCCTCCTTTGCTTCCTCAAACGAGTCGCCACAGATATAAAATGCATAATAATGCATCGTTAATTGTCATGCTTAGGTGCAAGAAAACGTAACATGCAGGTGGTAAATACAAGGTTTCAAAAGCCTCCCTTCTGAATCGCAGAAGGAATTCTTGATGTCCACAAGCTGAGGATTCACTGATGTATGGGAAAATGTCATCTGGAAATACACACGGTATCACAATGCTCTTTTTGCGTATAACATGGGAACTTTTATCCCTTCAATGCTGAATCTTTTCTCCTTCACTTTTGCTTCTGAAGTACGCTTCAGTATTTCCAACCAGGCATCTGAGCTCTTCTATCTCTCTGCAACATAAAATTTCAGATAGATACAAGCTTACATTCTATGTGACTATAGGGTTGGCCAAAAAAGTAAGCCATTGAATATTTGCTGTAAAATCCATATTTTTAACCGATTAACTTCAAAATGCAATGGAACGTTGCCTGATATGTTCTCCAACAGCTCTTAAAATCTCATGTGCCTGCAACTCAACTACCCCTACCTGAGTCAAGACAGATAAAAAAAAATGGTCAACATTCTGAGCGAACAGGCATGCCACTTGCGAGGCACTAACTCACATTTGATATTTGCTTAAAAATGCAGTTCCTATGGGTGGATCATCGTGAAAACTTAACAGGACGTTGTCATATGTATGTGTTTCCCTGTCTGAAAATGTCATGCATGAGTGTGAAATTTCAGGCATTCTCATGCAAGTGTTATGATATTTTCTTGTGTGAACACCTGAGTGTACAAAAAAATGTCAAAAATTCAAAACCATGCGACCAAGCAGAACAATAAAATGAATCACAGGGCAAAATATAGTACAGAGGTCGCATCTGGAAACAAATTGTATCCATCCTGGAATGTCATAAGACAAAGAAAGGTGGAATTTTTTGACACAGACACTCTCACTGGAAAATTTCATTACATTTGCATAGGAATACCTGAAATTCCATGCACATGCATGAAATTTTCATATGGTAAAAAACACATGACAATGCCCTGTTAAGTTTTCATGATGATCCATCCAAAGGTACTGATTTTTTAAAAGCAAAAATCAAGTGTGATTTCATCATGACTTCTCCACCTTGAAGGGACAAAATGATTTCAGCTGATGAAGAAGTTGAAGCATTAGGTAAGCTCTGCAGCAGGTATGACTTTCACGAATGCAAGTTGCGAAATTCAGGCATCAATTTCAAGACTTACAGTAGATTCTCCCGATCCTGTTGTGGACTGCGAGTGTCACAACCACCTGGGGCTTGATAACGATGACCTAGAATTGGCAAGACATTGGTTTCTTGTGCAGTCACTCCATGAAATGAGTAAGTCTTTTTATAGTCAAAAGACATGTAATAGAAATGTAATCACAGAAAAACTCTTCTGGAAGTGTCCTGGGCCTTTTTTTGGGTTTATTATATAACAGTTAGTGGAGTAAGGTAATTGGTTGAGGTGAATGAAAAAAATTCTGAAATCCCCCCTTGCCCTTTCTCACTTTGGGAGTACTCCATTGTTTCATTTTATTTCTTTCCTTTTCATATTACATCTCAACTAAAGTGTGAGGGGTGACTGCTGTACTGTGACTACATTAACCAGCCTGAGATTTTCTCAGTGAGACCAGTGAAAAGGTTAAGAAGAAGTTAGATGCATTTATGGATAATAAAAAAAAGGGAGACATGTAGTTGTAAGTAACTAGGTGGATATGTTCTCATAAAAGTATCCATCTTTAAAAAGGGTAGGCATATCTTATACTGTACGAACACACTTGGTCAAGTGTGTTCGACACAAGATGTCATGAGAAAAAATCCTCTCAGCATCCCTATCCAAATCTTGAATAATTTGCTAGAAAATTATCACCTGTAATGTATCACATTAACTCTAGACATTTACCTAGGAATTGCCAAAGAGTACAGACATAAGTAATTGGGATGGATGCAGAGTAACTCCTGGCTAAGTTAGCAAGAGAAAATAAATATTCCCACTAACAAACTAATCAGGCCTCCTACCTTGAAGGGGACGTGAAATGTCCAGTAGGCTGGCCAGGGGCTCCTCTGGCTGGATAACAAGGAGTGCATTATGTTTTGACACTCTAGCCTTTGAGTTCCCATGTGGTGCCTTCCCATCATGAATTGTATTGAGAGTCTTTGCCAGGGGAGTTGATCTCTTTGGACACTGATGAAGAAGAAGAAACCCATTCTCAGTCCCCTGAGTATGACTAATGGTTGTTCACTTTCTTTTTACATTCAATGAATTTTTAATACATTTCTGAAGATAGGTAATCTAAACTCCAACAGAAAATTCAAAGGTGTCAATCAGAATCACCAGAATACTTTAACACATTGAGGACCAGCACCCTACACATAATGTAGTTTTTCAGAAATAAATACAAAGCAATAAGAGCATGGCTGACAGTAAAAAATGGTACTAGAAGAGACATCAGAATGACTACAATCCACACAAGCACATCTCAGAACCAAATAGTACACAGAAAGAATCAGAAGCAATGAAACCACACCCTACATGAAAACACAAATTTGTATCTCCTGTCCTCAATGTTAAAAATCTCCTTTAGAAACAGAACCTAACAATGAGTATGCTATTGCTATTGAAAATGTCTATGGCATAAAATGAACATGGGAAATTTTGAACCGAAACCAGAAGAACAAAGCTTAAAAACTACCCTCAAAATGTATTCAATAATACAACAGAAAATCTGAGGCAAAAACATTTGGCAATGGTAAGTTTATTCCCAGAGATTCATAAATGAAGCATTGGATGTAGCAGGTTTTCATAAGTTTCAAAAGGGTTAGAAAAGGGTTGTGGCCAAAGGCCACAATTATTTTCTAACCCAACTGACCCATCATCTTCCAAAATAGGTAGCCTTTCTGACTCTTTCAGCCCAACAAAGAAGAAATGCGGCTCCCTTGTTATGTGTTTATAGTTAGTTCTTATGCAGTGCACTTGGGTTTAGTGAAAACCCAAAAAAGCATATAGGGAAGGTAGAGCACACACTATACTTGCACCAAATAGTCTTGCAAATAAATAAATAAATATGTTTAAAGAAATAGTCTGAGTCTGGTAGCACTCATTGAACTCTTGATTTTGGTTGCAATTTAGTATGTACAGATGGTAGTGTAGATGTCAATATAATTTAATCCCATTTCTAGCTCTATTGTTAGAGCCCTGAATCATCATCTTCCTGAACTTCAGGGAAGAGTTTCCCTACCCTCTCCTTCCCCATCCCCTTCATGTGATTCAGAGCTTCACATGAACTGCTAAGAGAGTGGTTGGAATATAATTGATCACAATAATCAGCAATGGAAGCTACATAAACTGAAAAAAATGCACAAAATATGGAATGTGGTTTTGATTTTTGGTTTGATCACATCATCTGGCTGATGACAATAACCAGTGACCACAATAAGCATGGTCTACTGTACTGTAACATGCAGGAACTAAGCAAGTATCAACAATTTGCAAACTAACTGCATTGACAGCTGATCTAGAAATGTTCACAGAATCAGAAAACTTCAACTTCTGCACTCCTGATTCCTATACTTGAGTTGAGTGCATTTTTGCACCAATAAACACAGCACTGGTTTTCCAAAAAAATTAATCCTCATTCAGTTTTGAAAAGGAATATATACTGGTGTCCAAAAGAAACATTACAAGGTAATGTACAGTTTTTCCCAGTGAGTTTCACACATCTTGCAGAGTGCGAGGCACCAGTGGCAAAATACTTTGCACCTCTCTCAAAACAAATCACTGGCATTGCATAATCTTTCATATCCCCTGCTATTCTTCATTTCTCTGGTGTGGCTCAGAATGGCAAAACCACCTGGCAACCCTGATGGGAACCATGTCCAGGACTTTTGAAGCAATGGCTGTGTTACAAACCCTCCTGTGGCACTCGTCATTTTTGCTCTTGGTTGTAATGGTGCTGAGGCAAAGGAGGAACATATTTAATGCATATCATATAATTATGTGCTATTCCATCAGTTAGAATTCTTTAGTGTGGAACTCCTTTTCCATTTATTTAGAGGCCCTTCCAAGGAGTACTTTGGTGTAAGCTTAGTTTAGTGCAGGCATAGGATGATGCACTATAGCTCATTCTTCATTCAATTTTCTTCCAATTTTAGTATTTTTGGAAAGACTACATCTCAGGAACTAAGAAAGACCAATGGAGAGTTTTTGTTGTTGTCAGGTTTCACATCATTTGTCATTTGTCCATGAGTCACATCTGCTCCATGTGACCAGATGTGACACCTGGAGTAATGCTCAGAGACATCTCACATTGTGAATCTGTTTGCACATTGAAAAACCAAACATGCATATGTTGCAATTATCAACAATGAGATTGACTAAAAATACTATCATCCACTTCCCCTAATTGTTGAGTCAAAAACACAAGGATTGGAAAAAGACATCAAACAAGACCTTTGATTAACACCAATATTGCAATACACGTTGAGCAGCAACATTCAGTGATCATGCATCCTAGGGTCCCTTTTTTAGAACAAGACTGTTCTCTTTCAGCTCTGTTACTCTATTTCAAGCTCCTTACCAAATACACAAGAAAACACCTTTCAGCTGCATTTACACAAAAATCCCTTTCTAAGCTGCATTCACTCTTGAAGTTGCTAATGGTTTTGCCATCTGTACCTTTGATCCCACAGTTCCTGTGTATCTTTCAGCTGATGGGGGACTGCCAAAATACCCTCTGAAATCCCTGTGAAGCTCTTCATCCCCAAGAGTTCCCTGGAAATGCTGGGGTTGACATCCCGTCTAGAGAAAGAAGAGATATATTTTAGATGAATGACATAGGCCAAGACACATTAATGACAGAAGTAACAAAAGAAATAAACTATAGATGACAGAAGTGAAAAACCAAAGTAAATTGAATGGAATAAAAACAAACATGAAATTACATAGAGGGGATCAAACTAGGAGGGGGGGGGGGGGGCTATAAACAATTCAAAGCAGGAAGGCAACAACAAAAGAATGCATAAGTGCCATCACAAATGGTTGCTGGTTATTTCCTGGTGACATTAGCAGACTGAAAAGGGAAAATTCCTAAGCATAACATGTGAAATGAAAAAAAAGCATACTACAAATAGGAGGGAAAAGATAAAAGCTAGGTATCTTTGCTCAATTTGGCCATTCCATCTCAATTGTCTCAAATTGAGAAAAAGTGGCCTTCATCACTTAGATCTGGATGAAAACTGCATTCACTAAGAAATTTGCCTCTGCCAAATTTTTTATTGGCTTTATTGGTTTCTGAGATAAGGCATAACATGATGTCCTTGCTATAAAAAACACAATAATACACAGTTTATGGAAAAGAAAGAAGAGATCAGTGACTTTTAACTTAATTAGCTCCTCTCACATAACTTTCACTATACATATATGAGTATGTTCCCAACTACTTCTCAAAATTTCATCTGGATTTCTTGAGCAAAGCAAATCAATCAGCATTTATTGAAAAAAAGTTAGATAGTGAGAATGGACAAGTACTCCTGCTGGTAGTGGAGTGGTGGAAAAACTTGAGCTCTGGAGTCCTGCATTTGAGAATCAATTGAAAACATACACTTGCCTGATGAGTGAAAGTTTCATGAAAATAAATCTAGTGTGAGCAGATATTAAGGGTAATAGTCATTAGACTTTCTTTTGCCAAACCCTGTACACGCAATACAGTGATGAGTTCAGAATTCCTAAAGAATCACAATAGATTCATTCCATATCAAATCATACCAAAAAGGTGCTTTTGGGACCAGGGCTGGCCCTAGCCAGACCAAGCTATTTTGGTGCCATGTGCCAAGAGACTGGGAAGGGAGAAGAGTCAATCCCTAACGTTCAAAATGACGCCGAAATGGGTGGCATTTCCTCTTTCTAAATTAAAACTGAGGATGGCTTCCAGATTACTGCTTCATATATTCACATTTTGGCTCCCCTGGTGATTTTGTGCCCTGTGCGAGGACACATGTGGCACATGCCTAAGGCCGGCCCTGTTTGGGACTGCCATGAGATCAAAAGATATGAACAACAATATGACAGCAAGTCATACAAAAAAATGTAGAGAATGCCATTGATACATGTGGATGCATTCACTAAGTGAAAAATATGTGGATAAACCTTTCACTTGGGGTAGTCAATACTTTCATCAATATTCTATAAATATTAGGAACTTTCTAAGCTTGGCCTGTGGTGACTGTTATAAGGAGGAAATTTTTTATTCCCACTGTAGATAGGCATCAAAAGCAGCAGGTCAATACTGCAAGGGTGGTTCTCTCACTGTTGAAACTGCAAAAATATGGCCTTGATGGCCAATCATCTGGTCAACTTGAGAAGGGGGAGAGATGCAGGGGATGAGATAGGTTTTAAAAAATTCTCTAAATTTTGGCTGCATTCAAGGGGATTAAAAGAATGAAGGAAATTACTCTACATTCTCCAGATTTTCTTACCTTCTTGCTATCATGCAAAAAAAAAAATGGTGGCCAGCACAGCAAGTCCTTGGTTGCTTGTTGTATTAGACAGGTGGTGGAATAAAACAAGTTATTTTAGCATCAAGCCTATGAAGTTGGCAATTGGGAGCAAGCTGAGACTCCAATTTGTGGGGGCCAGATCCACAGGTTTATAGGCAAATGATACAGGGTGCCCCATAAGTCACTTGGGGATGTGATATTAATATAATTTGGGAATGATGTAAGATATTTTTGGTCTGTAAAAAGTATGTTAATCTGCTATCTAGTAAGTTTTTCTGACAACAATTTTAATCTCTTAGATAAGTTACAATTAGACATAAAAAATGCTGATGTCAAAACAATGAGTCAACATGATTCTGCAGATGGGCAAGCTTGAATCTGCAATGCAAACCAGACATGAATTCCAGCATATGCACCCACCCTGTTGAGACCATTAATGAAAACATGACCTGTGACAATCTCAAAAAAGTTCAGCAAAGTCAGTAGTGTCCATAATAAGAAGCAGGCATCTGCCACTTTTCAAATCACAGAGACTGCCAGTTTCATAGAACTTTTTGAGAATGCCATGGACAATGTTTTCATTAATGCTAAAAGTTACATTAATTTAATATCTCTGTGTTAGCACTTTATGGCAAAATTCATATCCCATTACTTCAAAAAGGGTTGATCTAGGAAGCTGAAATATTTTGTGGAATATTTTCTCAATGGACCAAAAAATGCAATGCAGGTCCACAAAATTTCATCAAAATTGAAGGAGGGTCAGGTAAAAGGCTGTTATTTTCACATATAATAACCCAGGAATAAAAATGCGAGATGGGGTGAAACTTGGAGTGAAACAAGGAAGAGTAAGTTGTGATGGGATGGGGCAGGATTAGAGTTTAAGTCTCATATCCTTCTCTGCTATCTGCCAACTGTCCAACACATGTTCCATTCACCTTGTTCCATTTCCCTTTTGATAGTTCATCAGTGATAATAATCTCAATATTATGGTAGATTTAGTAAAGTCATACCTTCATGTTTCAATAGTCATTAAAAATGAGAACTAATGCTAAAAAATAAGTAATACCTTTGTACTATTTATATGAAACATATATGACAAAAGGAAGTATAAGAAAAAAAGCTACACAAGGCACACAGAATATAACTGAGAATAGTGAATATGAAATCTGCTAGGTCTAATTTCTGATTCAGTTTGAAAAAGCTTCCTCACCGAATGCAGAATAAGGTCATTGAATGGGATCAGCTGAGAACAGAATTCACATGGTATTACTTCACATTCCATCATTTCCACATTGCTTCCTCCCTCATCCTGCCTGCTCATGTCACAACCACCAAATTTCAGGACTCCACTGCACTCAAAAAATAACAAGTTACGTGTAATGAAACTCAAGATCAGACCTGTTCAATGTTTCATACTCCGGCTTGGGTAGAATCTTATGGACTTTTGGCTTAGCTCCACCATGTCCTTCTGAGTAAGGATGTCCTCCACCTAATTCAAAGGCATGCATACCTCTTGGAATGTCCTTGAGATCTACAACAGCACCCAATAGAGTACCTAGTTTATACCACTTCTGATTGGCAAAAAGGAGAGACCAAAGACCAAAGAAAAAGAATTATAATATATTTATTTTTTTCTTATTGGAAAGGAATGCTGCGAGGGAAGTTCAACACATTTCACTCTCTATCCAGCATCACATTGATGGTCATGATAGACTCTCCATGCCATGCGAGATTCCATTGAAACCTCCCTCATATCCAAAGGAACAGGTACCTCAGAATAGTAGTACTTCAATAAAATATTCACTGAGTAAGGAAATGGTATCTCTGCTTCATCAGTAAGACATGAAAGTGACATGAAAGGGGGGCTATGTCTGGACCATCTTGACATCTACTGGTACCTCAGAGTGAACCATATCACCTGAATGTTCTGCAGGATCTTTGACAGGGAAAAATAACAAATGGCACAATTAAAGTACCTGAGACCTACATATAAAATTGAAAATTCTTTAAATGTTGTTAGTGATATATATCATTTCAATTAAAGAAATATGAACAGTAAGAATATAGGAGACATACATAGTACTGGGGATTAGGAGAATAGGACCCCTGATATGGTATTTCAAAGTGGATTGGATCAAACTCAATTAATTCGCTGAGGCAACAGTTTTTTAATTTAAAATTTAGAATTTAGTGATTTTTAACTTTATTATTTAAAAAATGTTTTTTCATGCATTTGCAAATGACAGCAATTTTTGATGTGCTCTTCTTTTGCATTATAGCGAACAGAAACATTTTGAAATATATACTGGGGTATCCATACATTTCAGAAAAATTAAGTTAAAGGTATTTCTTTGCAAAAATTTTGGAGCCAGTCTTGTCTTAACTATTCAAGAACTACCCATATAACCCAGTGGGCAACATCTTTGGAATGAATAGGTCTCACATAGTATCAACGGTTTAAAAATTTTACAGAGATGTGACCCAAGTAATATAAGTAAACTGATCTTAGAGTATAACTTCATTAAATTCCAGCATTTCACCTGGCCCTTGAAACCATAAAACTGACAAGGAATCCTGTCATCAATTCCCTGCTCTACTATCAGAATGAATTAAGGAGCTAAGAACACCTTACTGAAACACAATCTTGATGATAAGACATACAAAATCACAATATGTATAATTGTGGAATTACCATTTGGGGTGTCATTTAGTTGTATCTCATCCAACATTGCTGTCTCACATTCACCCTGTAAAAGGAATGCTCTTGAATGCAGAGTATAATGAACCTCATCTAGCACTCATGATTGTGGAAAGAACTAGGACCTCACTTCATGAATCTCCAGGTCTTCAAGAAGAACTTCAATTCCACAGTACTGGCAGTCAACATGGAGTTTCTGAGCATCCTCTACCTCTGGAAAATGGATGAACATATACTCTAAGGAAGGGAAGTGATTACGCAGCTCTTCCCTCAAAAAAAGAGAGAAAAGGAGCATTGAATTTGGCTGGCTGGATTGGGCTGTGCATTACCCAAAAATTTGGAGAAGCAGTAAGCACACCTCTATGTTACTAGGGCTGGATCAATATTTCATTTATTAGGCCAGTAGTTGAGCCACATTGAACCTGAAGAAGGGTTGAAAAACTTTTTCTGGTGAGCATTTATGTTTCTCAAGTGCCAAGCAAAAAAAGAAAAATACTAAAATCAAGTCCTGAAACATCAGACTGTACTGTTTGATTTAGTTCCTGTACTAGCTGCACTCGCGTAGCTACGCGACTCTTTTGTTCCGAGAGGCGATTAAATCCCACAAACCACGTGATAGAGATTAAGCGATACGATAACTTCACAAAAATTCAAAAACTAACACGATTCTCTGGTCATCTTGCGCCAGGCCAGGTCCATGAGCATCAGAATTCGTTTCTAGCCCATAGCTTACTACGGCATGTCATGCCGATACAGCATGATAATCTGTCAGCAGATATGGATGGATGCATAGATACGGCGTCACTCCTGGAAGGATACATCAGGAGGATGTGCAGAGATAAGAGCAAGGGAAGTGGTGCTCTTCTCAATTTATCCTTGCGATCGTCATACGTCGAGTTATGGGAGGCGAAAATAATCGAATTTCGATGAGGTCCAAGGCGAGATCCCTATGTGCAAGAGTCTTTTTGAAAGAAAGTTGAAAATCCCAGGTGGAAGCCCTCGCCCTACGCAAAGCGTTTCGTACGGACGAACACATGCCGATTAATATATAAGGGTTCCCCGTCAATTCCCCGAATGGTTATTTCCCCGAAAGGACAGTTCCCCGAATGACAAATTCCCCGAACGGTCAGTTCCCCGTTTGGGATTTCCCCAAAGGAAATGGATTTGTTCCCATTTAAGTTTCCTGTCTTGCACATCATGCATGGGGGAGTGAGGGAGGAGGGGGAGATGCGGCTGTCCCCCAACCGTGCCGGAACTAAAGGGAGGGAGGTCTAGGAAAATGGAAGGAAATCATTAAATTCTTTGCCTCCCTACCTAAGGAAACTTTGTTCCCTTAGGGAACACGACTGCCGATACAATGCTAATCAGATCATTGATAAAGATTCTCATGGGAAAGGGAAAAAGATGAAAAAGGCGACAGAAACGGTTGTAAGATAATCCTCTCGGCTGCCAGACGATCGACAAGATGTCTATCAAAATCTAAAACGGGCTATATATGCAGAAGATGGGTGGCTTAGGAATCAGATCATTAAGTGGTCAGTTCTTGGACAGTGTGAGAGTTCGTGTATTCATGGAGTTCGTGAAGAGTGAAAAGGGCAAGAACCTTCTTGTTCTTGAGGGCTATCTGCTCACACAGAACAAGATGAGCAAGGACGGCCGAAGAACGTATCGGGAGTGCCTCTATAGAAGACACAAAGGAAACTGCAATTTCGGAGCTACAACTGAAGGAGAGCAGGTTTTCAGCAGGCGAGGGCAACATCACATAATCCAGAACCTGGAAAATTATAAGCTCGCAAGGTGATCGCAAACATCGTGAATGATGTACCTCTTCAGAGACAAACAAGGGCGTGAACTACAAATCGACCCCTAGACATGAGGGAGATGGATGCGGTCAATAGCCTTCCTTCCGCGACCGTGCGATCGGAAAACCGTGATCGGGGAACTGTCCTGTCGGGGAATTGACCGGACACCATATATAAGATATAGCAGAAAATAAAAAAATCTATACATTTCTATGACATTGATATTAAAGGAACTGTTTTAATTCTTCTTCAAATCAGAACTAGCAGTATTGCTGCATGGGATGACCAAACATTGGTTTCAGGAGCAGAACTAAAGAATACCATGGCATTTAGGTCATATCAAAACAAAGCAGAGTCCTACTGCAGGATAAATATGGAAATGGACAGGCTCACCTTGAATATTTGATTCAGCAGCTCTGGCTTCAGATGCAAGAATTTCAGATGGCAACATTGCAGCAGGCCTTGACCTAATAGCATCATCAATTGGGGAATCTCTGGCGTTAGATTTGAAATTATTCCATAGTCTGTCCCTGAAAAGGAGTGTAGGATGAAAGCAGAATCAAGTAATACGAGGTTCAGTTGGTATATCATAACAAGGCTAAAAAATGTGATAGAGGGCAAGAACAAGATCACAATACTGAATTGTGAATATCATGTCACAGATTTGTGGAAGGAGGAGGGAGGACCACATAGGAGTAAGATTCATTTTCCATTAAATCATTCCAGGGGCACATTCCACAATAGACTTACAAACTACAATTTACAAGTCTATTACTTGTAGAATCAAGTTTCTGTTCCACAAAAGAAAATTGTACAAGGAAGATTTACAAGTACAAGTTCATCCATTTACAAGCAAACTGAGTTTGGGAAAATGGATTCTGTTCCACAGAGTCAGACGTTTTACAAGTACAAGTCTACAGACTTGTACTTGTAGCTCTAATTTCTACAAGACTTTCATGCCTGGTAAATGTATTTTCTGCACTCCTGCGTCTAGCGGAGACGATGGATTTACCTGTTGTGACCATTGCATAGGACAATATAGGCATAGTTCTAATGTGGTACAATAAAGTAAAGTTGGGCTTATGTGATTACGTCACAAAAAACTTGAAAGAATAAAATCCAGCACCGCAGGAAATGAAATACCTGACTACAAGTATTGCCAGCTAAAGAATGATCATAGCAACTTTTCTTGGTGCCCTCTATGATAGAATTAACCTTGAATGTAAGTGTGGACTCTGTTGTACTACCAATGGACTCGAATAGCTTCTCCACTTTGTTGGGCATATTCGAATGCACCCTATCTGGGATACGTAGACTCTACCTTCAGGCCAAGAGATGGCATATTCGAGCTCATTATATGAGATATCCATACGCTTTCATTGATGAAACCTCTATTGGTGTCATTCCACGAGTGCTACTCGATAGAGAACTCTGGAACAGAAAATACAAATACTTGTAAATACAGCCACTCCACTTGTAACTTGTAAATCTTCTGTGGAATAGGCCCCAGGAATTTGTTCTAGTAGTATTACTAGGGCTGTCACAATGGGTCGATGCATCGATACCAACATCTATGGTTGGAGGTGTCGACAATTTTTTCCGCCATCGCGATATATTGTAAAAATTCCTGAACGGGGAAACGTCCCGAAGATTAACCCTTATCTGGTTTGTTTCTCGGAGAGAATTATTTATGGGTGCGCATATCCCTGAGAAATTTGTCTGGTATTATTTGTTTATGCATTTGGCTGAAAATACTTTTGCCCGAATGAGAAGTGGAGAGAGCAGAGAATGCTTTCTCATAGAACTTAGGTTCATGAAACAAACGATACAGAAATGTTTTTCTGGGTCCATGTTTGAAGGATAAAACGGTGACAATCGGCTTTTCTCGTCTATGCTGGGTTCTAAAGGAGGATAGGAAGGTATTTTGTGAATTTGCGTGTAGGGGGAACTCAGTCCTTTAATAATGCATCGATAAGAAAATGACGAGGCAGGTTGGACGGGATGAATGGGAAATATATCAGAAAAATCTCACGCGTGTCGTAAATAGAGACCTTTCCAGATCCAGCTTCAAGCTTGACTCCATCTGATTTTAAACGCTCGATAGAACTGTTTAGGGCAAATTAATTAATACATTTCGTGAAGTCATTCTGACTCGAGAGATTTAATTCCAGCATGCAGTTATTCTTATTTCTTTCATTCCTTCAGTTATGACAATCATCTCTTGGTTCGGTCACCACTATACATTCCAACTATAGCTGCGCTCGCGTAGCTACGCGACTCTTTTGTTCCGAGAGGCGATTAAATCCCACAAACCACGTGATAGAGATTAAGCGATACGATAACTTCACAAAAATTCAAAAACTAACACGATTCTCTGGTCATCTTGCGCCAGGCCAGGTCCATGAGCATCAGAATTCGTTTCTAGCCCATGGCTTACTACGGCATGTCATGCCGATGCAGCATGATAATCTGTTAGCAGATACGGATGGATGCATAGATACGGCGTCACTCCTGGAAGGATACATCAGGAGGATGTGCAGAGGTGAGAGCGAGGGAAGTGGTGCTCTTCTCAATTTATCCTTGCGATCGTCGTACGCCGAGTTATGGGAGGCGAAAATAATCGAATTTCGATGAGGTCCGAGGCGAGATCCGTATGTGCAAGAGTCTTTTTGAAAGTTGAAAATCCCAGGTGGAAGCCCTCGCCCTACGCAAAGCGTTTCGTACGGACGGACACTTGCCGATTAATATATAAGATCTTGTTCACGTCAAACCAATCACGTCTCGAACAACAAATGTCAACTAAATTTTCGGGAAACCATTACGCATATTGGATGCGGCGCCAGGCGACACAGAAGTTCCCGACATTGCGCGACTACGGATGAAACTTTGCGCTAGACATCTTTAGGAAACATACTCGGTGTCACATGTCTCCTTTCCGATATTTTAAATTAAATTGGCAGTTCAGAACCTTATGAATAGCTATTGTTGCATGAGATCTCATGAGCGAGTGTCTGTCTGCGTCTGGGAGCTCTGTTGAACTTTCGGAGGACCATTCCCTGCGTATTGAACTTGTTCCTATTTGCTTGTGACAATTTATGAAATGTTTTATGTACACCTTACCCCGCATGGAATGGAATTCATTCCTGTGTGAACTTGAATATATAACTGATCGCTTCATCAACAGATATGATGCATAACATGCGATTAAAATTCGTGAAATGATTGTAATGATCCACAAACGAAACAAATGCTTTGGAGAATGCCGATGCTAAGATAATGCCAGACGAGAAAGGGTTTTCGTTACCTCTACGACTCGTGACACGAGATGCAGGGCAGTGGAGGGCTCTATCTGAAAGAGCCAATCACGTGAAGGGATTCCGCGCGGGAAGTCCAGCTAAAAACGTTCCCAAGTTCCTGTTTTCTACATGACGCCATTCCTTCGTTTTGTAAAAACATACAGTTGAAACTTCAAAAACTTCTAACTGTACTTTCCAGCTCTGCATGTGTCAAACATGAAGCCCATTCAGCATTTCATCCAGAAGATCTCAGTCATTATACCACCCGACAAATTTGTCGGATTTCTCAATGGAAAACCGGGCCAGCGATTTTCCATCACCATTAAATCCTGGAAATGCTGGTACTGACTACACCAAAGAGAAGGAAACAAATTATTTTCTTGAACTGGAGATAGGAAATGGAAGAGGAGAGGGAGAAGAAACCTGGAATATTTATTTCTCTTCTGTTTCAGTTCTCAGTTCGATTTCATCCGGTGCACGCTGTTAACGTGAACTGTTCCTTTGATCTCGTGATTTCGAAATGTTAAACCCCCCTCTATCTATATTAGAGTCTTTCCCGATAGTGAATCCGTTTAGCTTTCAGGCTAGTATTTTGTTTGTTTTTTTTTGTATTTGACTTCTCGCATGCATTGCATCATTTGTATTTCACTTCTGGAACAAAGCTCAGCTATCATCAAATCAAACAAATAATTTGGTACACAAGAAGTGTACCTGGTGAGGAAAGAGGGCGACACGCTGACAGTCCGTGATTTTTAGTGGCTGACCTCTGATCTCTGATCTCTGCGGGTACGATCATCCGGAAGGAAGAAAAATATTGGAGTACGCATATTACTTGGATTCTCGGTTCATTTGTGAACAAGTTTGGCTTAGTTAACGCTTATTCACCTAAATAGAAATAGTGCCAGTGTCAGATTTAATCTCCTAGAGGAGGAGAGAAACGTCCAAAGTTTCGGAGTGACGACACAAATTGGAAGTAATAAGAATGGTGCAGGCCGGATAGTTCCAAAAGTGTTACTTTAATTTTTCATAAATGAGAAACGCGATGAAAAGAACATTTAAGGTACAATCCTAATTGCTTTTCAGCAAAGGGCAGATATACTGCTATTACAACTCCTACTACGCGAGCGAGCTCTAAATTATCTTCATATGTTTATTTTGGACGCTGGTACATGATAATGGCACCGGATTACTAATAGAGTTCCATTAGTTCTATCCAACCATGTACAACTTCTAGGGTGTAGTTCTTTCCACACATCAATAATTTTCTCCTGCTGCAACCAAAGATGTTACACTGTTACAATAAAAATGTGGGATAAATATATTGAAAATGACAAAAATGGAATAGTTGACTTTTAAAACTGCCATTTAAAAAATCCTGGGAAATTCTTACAACCAGACTCAGAACGCAATGAATAAATTTTGAATATCTGACCCCTGAATTCTTGGATTCATACAAGTCAAAGAGGCAGGAAGAGGTATGCTATTCAACTTTTATCAAACTTCTGGTCAAGTGTGGATGTCCCAAAGAGTAATGGAGAGGAATAGGAGAGATGCAAAGGGAAGAGGATGAGGGCTGGAGCATGTGAGACAACATTCAGGATCCAACATCCTATTCTATGGGGCATGGCTAAAATATGACCAACAACAACAACTTTTAACCTAAATATCTTGGCTCACACTGGAGCTATTTTTTTTTTTTTTTACAAAACTTTCCCAATGTGATATGAGTATGTTTCCAATTGATTTTCAAAATTTCTTTCAAATTTATGGAGCCAAAGCAATACTATCAGCAACTACTAAAAAGAAGTTAGATACTGAGAACTGACAAGAGTTCTTTTTGGTGGCTGTGGAGTGGAGGAAGCACTTGAGCACTATCCTTCTTGATCAAGAAAACTATGTCCAACCCACCTTCCATTTAAATGATTCATTTTACATATTTGATGGTGTGTATTTTACTCCAATCTATTCTATCTCAATAAATCCTATGCGAACCTCTCAGATGGGAAGAGATCCTCATTGATATGATTTCTTCCCTGTGCAGAGTGATACAAAATCTCACAAGTGCGTCCAACCAAGGAAAGCACTGATGGAAGGAGAGGTGCAAATGAATTCATCCCACAGGTTGCCTATAATGCATGATAAGCGATTGTTAATCACCTCAAAATACATCCATATGAATTCCCTTCATGACACAAACTCCAAAGAGAAAAGTACCTGGTGTATGGTGATCTCATGAGTTGGGAAGAGTTTACAACATTTCTCACAAGGAATTTGGTCATTTTTGGATGTCACACATTCTTGTAACTTATCTGCAGGAAAACAAGAAACATGTGATCCATGTGAGCTGTCTAAAACTTCAAATTGATGTACAGACAGGGTGAGAATGACTGACCAGGAAGATGAAGGAAGTGTGGGATCTCCCTTCCATTGTCCATGTTCTTCTCTGGGATAAGTAGGAAAAAAAAAAGGTAACTGTATTGCTCTCCTGAATCTGACAGTCCACTGAATACAAACAGCCACAGAAAACAAATTGCAAGGTAAGGAGTAAACTCTAATTTAGTCATACGTTGGTCAGAGTACTGACCAGATGGAGTGATTAGATTATGTCCAGATTCCTTGTGTAATCCCCAGTGCTGAAGCTGGACATACTTCCCGCAGTCAGAACAGTGATCAGTCTTGGACCCACACATATCAATGTGATCAGGCAGACAAGACAGGGGCATGACTATTTCACAGTACTTGCAAGTGCTGGGCCGTTCTGCACAATCATATTCCTAGGAGAGTAAGCAAGAGTAATTAGGGAATTAAAATGAACAGTTAAAGGATATGGCAAAATGAGACCCAAACCTGATGCTTTTCCATCATAATCTTGTCACACCTTTTCTTGCAGTAAGGGCAGCAGACCAATGCATGATCCTCACTTACATGCTGCTGCATTTGGGAAACTGGGACAACATCATCGCATAGAGAACATTTCTTGAGATTTCGCTGACAGTGAACTTCATGAAGTTCAAGGGATATTGATGGAATGGGTCTGGCACTACCAACAAGCAAGCAGAGAAAAAGACATTAGCTAGAATGAGGAAAGTTGAATAAAATTAGGTCTAGTATGGAACAAACCAGTATCTGCAGGGTTTTTTTGACAGAGCCAGATCATCTTGTGGTGGAGATACATCCTCAGATTTCTCATTTTTGATGCCCATCTCCCAAAACTGAACACTTTGAGAACAAGAGGTGATATGCTATCAAGGCAGGAATTTTACAAGAGAACAGACAAGAGAGTTTACAGGCTTCAAGATTAAAGTGGAAGAATTTTCCCAGTACCTTTGTGAGGACATGCCCTCATGTAGTCAGAACAAAAGATCTGACTGCCTGGTTTACAGATATGGACATATTTTTTGCTGGGCAAGGTCAGGCTCAGGGATTGAAGTGATGTTTATAAAGATATCTAATGAAATTTTCCATGGTTTCCTGGAATCACATTCTTTATTGACACACAGCTTTATGGTTGGCAGAGCCTGCATGAACATTCCACACAGCAAGGAGAGCCAAAAATCACAAAAAGACTAACATCAAGCATATACGAAGTAACCTAGTGGGAGTACCAGGCAACAATTCTACAAGACTCGAGGCCTAATGCAGCATGTCAAAAATGATACCAAAGATCCAGTAAGAAACTGTTGCCTTGGGATCCTCACTTAATGGCCCCCAAAGATGGCATGGAAGGTGGTGCCATTATAACCAACATCTGCTGGCTTTGCATCCACAAACTCAAAGTATAGCCTGCAAACAAAAATATCAATGATTTAATACCAATACTTCAACTTTCAATGGATTCATCATTTGTCTAATGATTGAGACACAATTCAACAAGAGCATCTCAAGTCTTAGACTCGTTTCACTGACTGACCTGTCTGAAGGGATGCCAAGATGTTTCTCAAAATGTTTGGACAATGTAGCAGAATGTTTTTGGTTCTCTTTCACCCCCAGACACCCAATGCTCATGAGACGAGCTGATCCAAACTTCTTATTACTCCCACCAAATGCACCATGAACTTGTTGCACTGTGAAACAGCAGTACTGCCAAAAACAAGCAGAACCTGTACTTATATTCTAATTGATAAGGTATGAATCAGCTTAGAAAAATGTTGATAAGAATCCACTTGAGATAACCATATCATCTTATCAAACTTACACTTTCTGGTTTCCCCAGTGTCTGAGCCAGGAGCTTGCTGGTCTCTGAGATGAAGCCATCTGTGAAGGAATCCTGTGATACATTTGTCAGCAAATGCAAATGAGGCATTGTAATGCAATTTGGATATAGCCTTGAGTTTTGGCTTATGTCTAGAGTGGAATCACTCCAACAACCAACCTAAAACACAAAACAGTCCCATGGGCATTGCCATAAATCCACAAAATGGTGCCAGTAAGGCATTCTGATCCTGAGAGCATTCTTGGTAGTTTTGTCATTGACTTAAATGTGACATTCACATTTTCTCTCCTATCCCAGAAACTGTATGTGGGACCATGATATTGAAACAGTTTCCTTTAATTTTGGCTGTCCTGCTATTCCCTACTGCATTGAGGTTTTAGTTTCAAGGTTCAGGTAAGGATGTCAAGGGGCAATTCTGCCAGTTAGGACATCTCATGTCAAGGCTGAGTGTTCATGTATCAAAGGGGCTATTCCCCCCAAAGAAAGATATTTTTCTGGGAGCATATCCACCTACTGCCTAGTCACTTACATCTACATTGCTCCCTTTCTTCCTCTGTTCATGTCATCTCACCTTCTCTTAAAGCTAATCACAGAAGGAGAAGTCACTACATCACTTAATTCATTACCCTACAAGTAAAGAGGTCATGTTACAACCTGAGCTTCACCTGGGGTTTAGCCAACTTAAGTTGGTTCCCTCTGGTTCTGTTACCTGCATCAAACTGGAAAAACCTACCATGCTCTGTTATCAATTTCCTTAATGATCTTAACCCTATTAGTGACATTGGCATCTCCTGATGCCCATGGGATGCCACTGATGCCACTAGGAGGAGGAGGAGGTTAAAGATTTAAATTCCTGTCTGCTAGTAAAAGGGTTAAATGACTGAATGAGGTCTCCCCTTGCCAACCTTCTCTCCAGTGAGTACAGTATCAACACTTATGAATGCCTTTCTTGCCTCTTTGATCATCCTCATAGCCTGCCTCTGAACCTTCTTGAGTACTTTTGCTTCACATTTATTAGCAGGTCTCCTAAATTGATTGTAAATACCCTGAATACATGATATCTTATTTTGTTAAGGTTTGTTCCAGAGTGGTGAAAAAAAGAGGAAATTCAGGCCTTACACTACCCTGATACCCTTAAACAATATCTGCCCACCTGTTTCCCCATTATCAGTTTTTAAATCAGTGAACTCATGCTGATACTAGCTCCATCAATGGTTCATGGAGCTGTACAATACTTGCAATTAACCACCAATGCATCATCACAGGCCTAGCAGGATGATAGGATCCATTAATTCCCAGATTGTTTCTAGGAAATGATGATAGAAATAAACCTTTGTATTCAAATCAAGGTAGACCTACAGTTGGGTCTAAACAGAAAAAAGGACAGCAGAATATAATTCATACAATCACATCTCAATCTATGTTTGACCTAATGAGACTGCAGGGGGTTTGGCAGGATTTGCATACATTCATATAGTGTTTTTCACTGCATCCCACACTTGCACATTAGATGCCCTTCATGCATGAATGAGTGAAGTGGTTAAATGTCTGACTCAATTACAAACACTGCAGATATGAGGCCAAGTATGGTGCCTGTGCCAGGGAGGCAGGCACCCCCTTGCTCTCTGTGCAGCATATTAATGTATATCTGTTGTAGTGTGTCTGCCACATGTCCTGTCTTTAATATGAAAATTAGGCAGTGTCTATTGGCCAAGCTGGGAATCATGACCTCAAACATCACTCTTAACGTTTAAAAACTTCTGCCATGCAGCTCACTGAACAAGGCAAAGGAAGGTGCTTCCTTTGCCTTGTGGGAAGACTTTGAGCCATCTTTTTCAACCTATTAGTATGAAACTATATAACTCTTGGTTATTGAAGGATAAGGTCATTTATAAACTTCTTACCCTATGTCATGATAGATAATAGATGATATGCACTCTAATTTAAGATGCTTCATATTGGGAAGTGGGGAAATTTTTTCTTGCGACCTGGTTTGAAATAAACTTAATCAACAAATGGAGCTAGTGCATGTCATCTATTACAAGATCCACAAAAAAGCCAGGCAAATTCAAGCTCCAAATAGTACAAGTGTCTGTCACCCATGGAGGACTTTATTCCATGCTTACTGCCTGGGCTTTGAATGAGCCCTCTCTTCTCTGACTATGTGACTTTTGTGAAATCCTGCACCTTAATAGGTATTCTTAGGTTAAAATTGCTGAAAGCAATATAAATGGCACTTATGAGATGAGGAAAGCTATCACTATGGAATATGCAACAGCCTTTAGACATCGTTCTCATTACAGAAACCAGCTCAGCCACAACGTAAGAGGCCAAACTCTCTTCGGAATGTAACTTAGATGCCATCAACTGAGGAGACTTCATGAGTCAGGCGACTTTCAGCTCCTCCCTTGAGTCAGGGCCAAGCCAGCTCGGCCAATATGCACTGTCTTAAAATAAAAGTCTGAAACCATGTTCTAACGTTTTGTGCATCCTACAGCAGCTGCAGATGGCATGCTGGAGTTAAGCCTAGCCTTAACCAGATGATATAAAATCACTGGGCCAGCCCAACTCGCTACAATCTCATCGCATCACCATGGGGTTTTATGTGTGGGGGAAACGGAGCCAAGACGGTGACAACATTACTTGACACGGGAAATCCAAATGGGCATAAATTCCTCTTGACGTACCAACCTATTTGAACTTTAACCTCGACCAAAGACCGAAGTCGCACGAAACCCGGCAAGAGCAAGCCGACTGTCTTGTTATGGTCCTTGGCCTTGGGTCTCGAAGGACAGACCATCCACAGGACATAGCATTATTGATTAGGCCTACCTAGAGAAAGATTGAAAACCACAGTCGAACGTTTTGCGTAGAGAAAGCCTGAATATTTAAAATTTGCGTAAACTCTTGAAGCTAATCATTGGTGGGGCTAGATTTTTTTGTGCCGAGAGTGAAACTCAAACCGGAGAGTGAACATCCACTTCGACAACTGTGGCGACATCCATTCCTCCAAAGCAGATCGGGAAGAGCTTTCACGCCTGCTATGCCAACGTTATCCGCAGGATTTTAGAGAGACTTTAACAGTAACGTTGGGCTACACAGACCTTGTGACCATGTCGGGCGCAGTTCGATTCCTGTATGAGAAGGTATTGAGGAGGACCTCAACGTTCGCCTTCGCTGTGGTCGTCAGCGCAGTCTTTTTTGAAAGAGCGGTGGATATGGGCTGCGACGCAATCTTTGACAACATCAATAAGGGGGTGAGTACATCGGTTTGTCTGCCTCTCACTACACGTTATTATATGTCATTGTTCTCCTTTCTTTCACTTTCTGGTAACAGTTCTGTCTTCTGTGGTAATTTGATGCTGACAGTTGTTCTTATTATCCTTAATAGACAGAAATGATAGTCTGGCGCTGACGTTAGGCCTCGCCTTGTTCTCTCTTACAGAAACTGTGGCAGGATGTCCAAGAAAAGGTCTCAGCTTCTGGGGACTGACATCTGAAAAGTTTGCAGGATGTGATGGAACCTTGTAGTGTATGTCAATGAGGCTGGAAACTACTCTTGACAGCTCAATCTTCTAGCAGATATTCCATATATCTCTGTTGAGTGATGGTAGCTGAGGCTTGAAAAATAAATGTCTTCAACTCCAGTAAATTATCTTCAAGGGAGGAGGTTATTCTGTGGAAATTATTGAGAGAGAAGTACCATGTATTGTTCTACTCTGTCATGCACATTGCATGAACTCTACTTTTGAGATCTTGGATCCTTCCAATGGAGATCTACAATTTTTTGGAAATTTAACTTTCTTGTAGAAGCCAGTTGTATGCAGGATTGAACTGGGCCACCAGGATACTGATAAATTTCCCAGGGGCCCCTTGGTCTGCATTATGTGGAGTGGGGTGTTAGACAGTTTCAGGAAACCCACACTGAATTAGAACAGGAGAAAGTTATTGACTTCTCTGGTAGCAATAACATAATCATAACCAGCAATTTTTCATAGCATAATGGTATCCTCAAGTATCTGGTACTTCCCAGTTTAAAATCCTGGCTGGAAACAGCTATAATTTCCAGCTGGACTCCAGCTGTAAATTCAGACCCATTCCAACTGGGTAACAGCTGGAAAGTAGTCATCTCCAGATTTGTTCCTAATTGCTATATCACTAACTGAATGAGAATCTTTTTGTTGACTATTTTTGTCAGAGGTCCATCTACANAATCTCCAGATTTCTTCCTAATTGCTATATCACTAGCCGAATGAGAAACTTCTTGTTGACTATTTTTGTCAGAGGTCCATCTACAGGAACAGCTTATTTTCAACTGTAAATTTAGCTACATTCCACTTGTAGGGTCCTCTTGATAAAATTCCAGCTAAGAAACAACTGGTACCTACTATTTTCCAGCTCTTTTCCAGCTGGAAATGGTCCAAATTTACAGATTTGGCCCAGCTGGAATGTTCCAGTTAGGATTTTAAACTGGGTTGCTAGCTACTGGGTGATGATCACTGCTTGGTTCAGCCCCATGCCTCACTCTTTAATGCAAACAGGTTTCACAAGTCAGCAGGCAAATTTTTCAGTCCATCTGTGATTGCTGGCAGATAGTACCAGTCTGACTGCTGACTGACAGACCCCTTGCACCAGATTTACTAGTGGAGATCTTCATACTGGTAGATTTTCATCTTGGTAATGATCAGACCATTGCTGGCACAAATGTCAGTAACTTTTCAACCATTCCCATTTGGTTTGGTTTCTTCAAGATGGTTCACTCCAAATAGCTTTGTCTTTCCCAACTAAAAGTCTATCTCATAAGCAAAACAAGATCACTTTTCAGGATCTCTTGTCTGATGCATCTAGAAATATCATATTGGCCCAGTTCTGGTAACTAGCTTATCAATAGTCACCCTGGAAGTACAATGGTTATTGTGATCCTGATTACCATTGGAAAGGACCAATCCAGTATAAACCTCGTGAGTTGAACTCCTGCATGTTTGGTTCTTCTTGTTCAGCCTCAGCAGATTCCCCTGTTCCCCTTTTGCCAAAATAAACATTCTCTAATGTAGAGGTAGGCTGCTTGTTTCCTTGGACTCTCCAACTTGGCACTGCAAGAGCCAGTGAGATCACTTGAGATCTTCCTCCCTTGCAAGCATTAAGCACATGCATGTGATAGTGCTCAGATATCTGAGAGGTTGGAAATTCCACACATACCTTGTACTTGGGACCACTGAAAGCTCAATCCTAACCTTACAATCTGCGTTGTTCTCAACAGGACACTGATGTTAATGTACAAGGGATGGTCAGAAAATCTTTTTATTTCTCACTCACACGCGTACGCATAATGGAAAACAGATTTCGCTAATACAGCTTCTCAACATAGCCCCCCTTAATGTTCATGCACCTTTCGAACGATGTGGGAGCCTCTAGAGGCCATCTGCGATCCACTGTTTCAGTGTGTTCTGCACCCACGCCGGACAGCTTTTTGTAACTGCACTACTGGTACTCCACTATGCAGATCCAGAAGCTTTTCTTTTTTTTTTTTTTGGAAGACTCGTCACCGCCGATGAGACTTGGTTTCATCACTTCGAACCAGAGACGAAGGCACCATCGAAGCAATGGAAGAATTCAAGCAGCTCCATCAGCTGGGAAGCAAATGCCTACCGTGTTTTGGGACTATCACGGAATCATACTCATCGATCGGTTTCCGAAACGCCAGACGATCAACAGGGACGCATATTTGGCCACCTTAACAGGTTTATTGGTGCGCTTTGGCAGGGTTATTCAGAAGAAGCGCTATGACAAACGAGCGACAAAGGTGCTGCTCCTGTATGATAACGCTCGCTCACACACGAGCAGACGGACCACGGAGGCAATTGCCAGGCTCTGGTTCCAGACAGTCTAACATCCCCCACTCTATCCTGTGTGGGCTTAGCGGCGGACCTCACCGAGGAGTGGAGGAGGAGCCACCCCCTACCGGACACCTCCCACCTCCAAGAGACCTCCCACGGACCGGGACAAGGGGGTGGAGGCGAGACTAGAGAGTGGACAGTGACTGTGTGGATGTGATCGTGTGACATTGTACAACGGTGTGTATTGTATGTCTGGATTGTATAGGGACCTGTAAATTATTCCCGTCGCCCTTGACGTATCAACTTCCCTCCTGCCTGGTGCCTGTAGACTATAAGAGTGAGTGGTATCCATCCAATATATCTATTGTTATTGTTGCTGACCAGCCTAGTCCTTCCGAATCTCACCGGTACTCATCTAATTGGAGTCAGTACATATAGTAGGGCCCTTTTTCGTACACGGAGAACACGTAATACCATTCGGCGGCCGCGCCCACACCTGATTTCGTCCCCAGCGATTGCTGGTTATTTGGCAGTGTGGGCGAGGCCGCCGAATGGGATCGCGTGTTCTCAGTGTACGTAAGAGGGCGCTATTATATACAGACTAACTCCAATTAGATAAGTACCGGTGAGATTCGGGAAGACAGTTCAGCAACAATAACAATGGATATATTGAATGTATACAACTCACTCGTTTTTTTTTCAAGATTCAAGATAGCAATATCAAGAGGCGATTTCGCCCATTTCGATATCAGGTGTAGAGGTCGAGCGTTCCTTAATTTGAGGGTCGGCCTAACCCTCTTAAAGCTAAATATTTTTGTATTGTTTTGTTTTTTTTTTTATTTGCCTATCCTAGTTGCTTACTGTCTAGTACTCGTACAGTCTACAGGCACCAGGCAGGAGGGAAGTTCATAAGTCGAGGTCGACGGGAATAATTTACAGGTCCCTATACAATCCAGACATGCAATACCCACCGCTATACAATGTCACACGATCACATCCACTCTGTGTCTAGTCCACCATCTAGTCTCGCCTCCACCCCCTTGTCCCGGTCCGGGGGAGGTCTCTTGGAGGTGGGAGGTGTCCGGTTGGGGGTGGCTCCTCTTCCGCTCCTCGGTGAGGTCCGCCGCGAAGCCCACAGCAGCATTAATGAGTCTTTGCGGGGACGGCACTTTGCCGCCACGGAGGCTCTACAGAAAGCTGTCCGGCATGGATGCAGAACACACTGAAACAGTGGATCGCAGATGGCCTCCAGAGGCTCCCACATCGTTCGAAAGGTTGAACATTAAAGGGGACTTAGTTGAGAAGCTGTATTAGCGAAACCTGTTTTCCATCGTGCGTATGCGTGTGAGTGAGAAATTAAGAAGACTTTTTGACCGCCCCTCGTACTGTACAGGGTGATTATAAAGTCAGGAAATACAGTAAAAACTCTGATAGCTTATACTGCCATAACTTATAACCTCCAGTACTGTATATACGAGGTAGGTTCAAAAAGTTTCGAGACTGGGTTTATGCACGCAAACGGTGAGCGTTACGGCACTGTTGCTGTGTCACCTTCAAAGTAGTGGCCCTGACTTTCTGTACCCTTCTGCCGACGTCTGTAAAGTTCCTCGAAACAGAACTGGAACCCATTTTAAGCGACCCCGTTCAGCGCCGCCACCGTAGCTTCCTTCACCTCTTCTGTGGAGGAAAAACGGCGTCCCTTCAGGCGCTTCTTCATTCTTGAGAAAAGGTAAAAGTCGTATGGTGAAAGGGCCGGGGGGGGGGGGGGGTGTGGTAGTAAGACTGTGCCAGTGTCTGTCAAGTAACAGCTCACCATCAGCGATCTGTGCGCTAGTGCGTTGTCGTTAAAGGTGGATCCAATTCTTGTCTGCCCACATCGGTGGTCGTTTTCTCCGGATTGCTTCTCGGAGACACTGCAGCACATCTACGTACATCTCTTTATTCACCGTTCTTCCCTCCGGAATGAACTCACGATGGACAATACCCTCGTGGTCGAAGAACACCTCCAACATCACCTTCCAGGGACTCGCAGCCTTTTCGGAATCGTCGATGCCCCTCAAACACTCGAGAGCGCGAGATTGTCTTGTCCCCATACACCTGTCTCAGCATTCCAAAAGTCTCTGCAGCCTTTTTACAGTGTAGCAAAATTTTCACATTAGCACGCTTTTCAAAACGTGACATCTTCGCAAGGTGAATGCAGACCGCCGACTGACAGTTGAAGAGTTGCACGTGGGGCAACCCAGTGATTGCCACATGAGGTTAAGCCCATGTGCCCTTGATATGCACGTAGTGTGGAACCCTAACTACGGTCAGAAAAATTTATTTAGGTATGCAACACAGCGTTCGGTCACGGTGACCCGAGTCTCGAAACTTTTTGAACCTAGTAGTATATTTCCCATAGTTTCCAGACTTTATAATCACCACTGCTTATTCATCTACTGCTGAGGTATTTGTTGGCTCTGTACCCTGATGGCAAGTGACGTGCTGGCCATAACAATGTCTTGTACAGGTGGATTGTCCATCCCGCAATAAAACAGAACCACCTTGACAAGATATCAGATTGTATCACACCTTGAGGCTTGCTTCCCCACCCGAAAACTTCCAGAAGAGGTTTGTCCATCATAAAATTGACTTCTGTGGCATGAAAGTCCTGAAACTTCAATACGTACTTCAAATTCTGTCTGGAGTAGGAGGTAAGAAAATGCGCCAGGAAAGAAGACCAACCATTTTCTTTTTTTTTGCAGAAATGCTGTGCTCAAATGGCCAACATTTGAGAGATTTGCATTCGATATCTTCCCTGACAAAGTTTCAGGCATTCACGTCGCTTCCCTAACCGTTAGGGGACCCCTAACTCAAGAAGGTTGTGGGTCTCCTAGATGTTCCGTATTCATATTCCTCCCCTAGCTAAGGGATCCTTAAACCCAACCCTTCTAGAAGAAGATAGGGGAGCTGCCTGTGTTCTCTTCTAGATGCCTGCATGTTCGATGCACTCTATCGCCTGCGGCACCTCGCAGAAGATTTTTGTCCTGGCATTTCGTCACTCATGAGAGTGTCTAAGAGTAAAAATTCCCTCCTAAAAAGAAGCAAGCTGTCCTTTCATTCGGGTCAACCAATTGAAGGATGATGTCAAATGAAACTCGCTGCTGCTTTGTGGAAGTCACGGCAAAAATTATATTTTCAACTCAAAATTGCATAAATCTCTGCTCTAACTATAGCTATTACCACGAAACGTGCCCTGAGCATCGGGTGATATCTTTTCAAGAGCTTTCTGGAATTTCATTCAAATTCATTGTGGCCAGGCAAGGCTATTAGTCACATTCAAAGAAGTCGGAAATCATTGCAATGGAACGGAGCGCGTGCTGGTAGTTCAGAAGAGGAAACGCCTTCGTTCTGCTGTTGGCATACTTTCAAGGGCACATCAAACATTTAGTACATTAAAATTCAATTGTTAGCTGGCCTTTTGCTGCATATAGTTTTGATAACGTTCTTTTAAAATAATAACAAATCAATTTAATAATAAATAATAACAATAATAAATAATAACAATAACAAATAATAACAATAATGTCAATATGTCAATGTCGATAATAACAAATCAAACAAATCAATAATGTCGAGTTGTGTAGTTTTCCCACTGGATTCCGTTGCTTTTCAGGTACTCATCTGTAACGCGGAATATTTCATCGCCCGTTGCACGCTGTGGAAGTCTTTTACCGGTGAATAGACTTGAGAATAATANTTAAGAGGGTTAGGCCTACCCTAAGATTAAGGAACGCTCGACCTCGACACGTGATATCGAAATGGGCGAAATCGCCTCTTGATGTCACTATCTTGACTCTTGACTCAATTGGTATTAATACAGAGTTTGCAATAAGGCCCACATTTACGTCATTCTCCCAGGAACAATATATCGTAACGGTTAGGGGACCCCTACGTTGAGATTCCCCTAAGAACGGTATTCACGTTGGTCTGTTAGGGCAGTGCTTCTCAACCGGTGTGCCGCGGTATTTTCGGAATTATATGAAAAGAAAGAAAATCGTTGTTTTATTATTCTCAAGTCTATTCACCGGTAAAAGACTTCCACAGCGTGCAACGGGCGATGAAATATTCCGCGTTACAGATGAGTACCTGAAAAGCAACGGAATCCAGTGGGAAAACTACACAACTACACAAAACTACACCGGTGGAGCAGCTGCAATGACAGGAAATGTCAAAGGGTTCGTGTCGAATGTGCAAAATCAAAACGCAAATGTTGAAATCACACACTGTTTCCTCCATCGCGAAGCTCTCATGGCAAACAGCCTGTTGGATGAGCTGAAGTCAGTTTTGGCTAAAGCTGTAAAAATTGTCACCTTTATCAAATCAAGACCTCTTAAGACTCGCCCTTTTCCCCGTATTTTGTGAGGAGATGGGGAGCAATCACCAATCCCTACTTTTCACTCAGAGGTTCTCTGGCTTTCGCGAGGCGATCGTGTGAGTAATTTTTGAACTTAGGGAAAAGGTAGAGCAGTTTTTGACGTTGCACCACAAATCGCAGCATGCTAGTTTGTTACAAGACAATTACTGGCTGAAAAAAACTAGCGTACGCGGCTGACATCTCTGGGCATCTTAACAAATTGAATCGAAGAATGCAAGGACGTGGTGAGAACGTGCTTACACATACGGACAAGCTAAATGCGTTCAAATCAAAACTTCAGCTGCGGAGAGAAGAAATAGGACGTGGTTCACTGGACATGTTCAAACGGACCAGTAACACATCCTAAAAAAGCTGTTGAATGTGGCTGAACATTTGGGCATGCTTCACGACAAGTTTAAACACCACTTCAAGTTGATCAGCACGGAGCAGTATGACCGGGTTCGCAATCCATTCGCTTCATCGCGGAGGAATCAGTCAAAGAGCTTTCTCTGAAGGCGCGAGAGGAATTTCTAGACCTCAGGAGCGACCGCACTCTCAAACTCAAGTTCAGCGAGGTGCCACTGGACGCATTTTGGCTGGAAGTGAAATATGAGCCTGGATGAGGAACTTTGTGTAGCTCTTTCTAGCATAGAGCCGAACATTAAACGTCTCTGTTCCTCAAGACAGGTGCAAGTGTCTCACTAGTGTGAAATGAAAGTTCGGGCCTTCGGTTTCTCACTTGATTGCTTCTGGAAACTGTTTTAAATGAATCATTTGATTGCACTTTAATCCTTAATGACATAT